CCGAAGCGAATATCTCCAAAATTATATAAAACAAATAGATTCCATGTTGCCGTGGGTCTGTTCAGTAATAGATCACAGAAGACGTCAAAATGTGGTAAGAACATCAGTGACCTTGCGGCGAACCACAACATATCAATCACGTAGAAACCGAAAACCTCTGTTGTTGCTGTGAAATTTTGCATTCAACTCCTCGACAATCTTTTAAAACCAGTACTTTCTAAAGTTTTTACTCTCCTGCCTTCGTGGTATGATACACAAACTGATTAACTAGATATTTCTTCTTCTCGGACTGAAATTTTAAACGACTTGCATGTTTCTTGCCGCTTTTCCCGACTGTCACTGTCACTTTTTAGCGCAAACTTGTACCCGATCGGACGTGCACTGTTCACTGCTTGTAAAGCAAATTGTGCTACTCAAACATCAGTATAGGTGCTGCTAGCAGGTAAAATTTTGGACCGGTACAAGTTGTACGGACCGAGGCAAGCGAATAATCATCGCTGTAACCTTGAGATTAATGTGTGTGAATTGACGAATCTGTCAGTTTTGACGCTTGACAAAATTTTGTCCTGCTCTGGGGCAGGATGACGGCGCCTTTGAAGTTTGGTAAGGCTTGACAAAATTTTGGTAGGAAAAAAATCGCCGTTCGCACTTGTGAAACGGAACTGATGACAGATATTTTTGCAAAACAAACAAAAATTCGCCTAGTGCGGCCGGGCCCTAATCAAACAATTGAATTGTACGAAGGACTCTAAAAGACCGGCGGTTACTCAACAAAAGCTTCAACAATGTGACTCAATCAAACGCGACCCTGTTCGTGCAGTTGTCAAAGAAATACACCTACGTAAATAAAAACATTTAAAAACAAACGTGTCTTTCATATTTATTTTGCAACGCAATTTCTCTCCATATAGCTCACTAAAGATGCCAATCTTCTTTTTAAGCATTGCACTTGACACCACTGTCAATGAAGCGAAACAATCGAACAATGCCATATCATGTTCAGTTATTCAAAGAATTGTTACAAAAATAAAGTGAATGAAATGCTCTAATTCGCTAACTGGTGTAGTCTGGAAATGAAGCCTGAATCAACGAAGATAACATCGAAGGTCCGCCATTTGTAGATTTGCTGGGTGACATATTAAAGTTTGGACCAGATCTTGAGATTCTATAAGCTGAATTTAACGTTAACGATAAATTCGACCTAAAACCCTCATACGGAATTTTAATCCCCAGGCTCTATCAAAATGAGAGAAGACTGGGTACCCCAATAATGAACTGCAAAAGGGCTCAGCATGTGTGTCAATATTGGATAAAATGGACCGAACAGAGCCAGAGGTCACAGAAGAGCGAAATAGAAAGGCCGCAGCAAAATCCTGTCAATCGATAGATACATTTGTCCGTAAATTGTAAATTACATGTCACATAAAGTTTCTTGCAATTGTTTGTCATTAATCCATTTTGAATTTAAAAAGTGCAAGAAATTTTTATGTTTATACGTTTGCTTTTTGCTGCCTGGTTTCATATCAAAACGCACGAAATGCGAAATACAGTCGAACCTCTCCACAACGGCCACCTTGGGGACAGAGGTAAGTGGCCGTTGTAGAGAGGTGGCCGTTATGGGGAGGTAGGGGTGTAATATGACACCATTTGTTTTTTTGGGGGGACAACATTTTTATTTAAAAATGCTTATTATAGCATATGAATACGTAACACAATCAAAATGTATCAATAAAACAGAAACCAAAATGATGTTCAGAACAGGAATGTTAACAAAACAAAGCTAGTAAAGTACAGTGAGTACATCAGTTTGTACATCGTTTACTTTCTCTTTCGTGAAATTAAGTTGTCAAGGGTTGTTTGCTTGAGTGAGTGGCTGCGAGGTTCTATTTTAATGTGACTTACTGTGTCACCAGGCATTTTTTTTTTTCAATTTCGCAATGCAATTTAAACACAGAGCCTTATCAGCTGTACTCGATTTACGACTGAAATAAAAATACAGTACTGTAAAAGCGTAAAAAAATGGAAAATAGAAAAAAATGGGGCCTTGTACTTTCTAGTATTGTGTGATTCTTCCATCAGTGGCTAAACACGTGCCGCAATATAAGATACTGTATTGCCCGACGATGCGTGGTACAGATGAAGTTGCGTGACCTTTTATTACTGTACGCCAAAAAAGATAGGGTTTTAATGGCCGTTGCCGTTGTGGAGAGGTGGCCGTTGTAGAGAGGTTAAAACAAGAGTGAATGTATGGACTGTCCGCCGGGACAAAAGAAAGTGGCCGTTGTGGAGATGTGGCCGTTGTGGAGAGGTGGCCGTTAGTAGAGGTTCGACTGTATCAAAAATTTCCCGGCGGTACCCCCCTACAAACTCGGGAGGCACTCGAAAGTTAGTACGCGCAAGGAAAAGGAGACATCTGCACGCAGGCTATCCCCTCCCCTTTCGCACTTATTACGGACAGTTTTGTTTGTCCCGACGAAAATCTCATATATTTTATCTTACATTACAACGGTCACTTTTCCGCTCTCATACAAAGTTAACCTCGCTTATCTGTGCACTGTATATTGTCATGACATGTTTGACAACTGTCTTGCTCACTGTGCTGCGTGGCAGGCGTAACACAAAAGTTTCACTTCCTTGGTCTTTTACTGCAGTCATTAGACGTTGCTTAATACGGACAATTGTTCGTGTCCGTCTTATCCGGGTTCCACTGTACATACGAGGCGTTTCAATCACAGTCAAAACAAAGGGATTTGACTTCACGAAACTGAAAAAAAAACCTGCCAAAAAACCCCCTGCAAACTGTCAAAGCTATTTGCCTTTATCTCTGTAATTGTGTAATAACCCGACCAATTACACGCCGCGAAATTATTGACATATTATAAATAGACGACGAATTATTACACAAGAATCCATCAAAGAATAGTTCTCATCTTGACTCTGCTCATATCCTAGCTAACTGAACTGGGTAATTACAGTACACTGCACGATTCACGTTTAACGTAACAAATTTATTAGGTCACTTTTAGCAACACTCTGCTCTCGTAAACTAGCTCGCCGACTTGTCAGTTGCGGACAACAAACTCTGTTCAGTTTATTTACCTTCATGTCATTTTGATCAGTACATCTAACAAGACTTAAAACCCAAGCTAATTTGAATACAATCACCCACTGTTTTCTTAAACAACGGAAACTGTGCTCAAATGAGATGATCTTATCTTTCGTCTACAAACCAAGCAGATATAAAGTTCGTCGTTAATTTTAGAAGATATTTTCATATTAAAATCATTCCTCGTTTCGAAAAAAATTTAACACACTTAACAATAGTAGATCTAAAATCCATTTTCTAATATCATTTTGTCACGATGTCCAACGTCAGACTCCCGAAAGCGCGGTGAATTAATTTTCTGCAATCCAGCACGCGGCTTTGATCATTCGCAGCATTCATGCTGACATAACAAAATTCTCAAATCACTCATCACTCATACTCTTCTGATTGTCGTCATACTGTAATATCTTTGTTTACACAGCAGCATTCGCGCTGACATAACAGAATCTAAAAATAATTATATAATTCACTGTGTAAAACTCGCGCCGTGATTGGTTTAGAACTGTTATCTATTAGAGTACAGACGCACGAATGACGTCACGAAGCGGGAAAACGCGCGGGCGCCCTGCCTGCTCCAACAAATCCTTCGCTCAAAACAGAGAAATATTTTCGTCAAACTGGAAATATTCCGTAGGAAATTCAATGTTGTTCAATTGATACGAATTTTAAATCGGCTGTTCAAGCTTGGCTAGAACTTGGAGGAAAATATGATGGTCCTTTAGCTCATAATTTGTGAACAGAATCCGATAAATTTAGCGGGATTAAGCTTATCGTTCGCCGTTTATAAGCGACTTGCAACGGGATTTGGACTGGAATAATTCAGATTGTTTTTCCTCATATCAGGACGGAATAGAGGTTAGTCTCTAAATATTTGCTTTTCGAAACATTTGCTGAGTTGAGCTGTAGTTTATTTTAAGCCGTTTAGTTTTCACAAAGTTTTATTTGAGTGCATGAAAACACTGTGGCCTAAACTCGATGTTTGTTGACATAATTTTTATCGGCTTATTTAGCGTACATTCAAGTGAAAATCCGAAGCGAATATCTCCAAAATTATATAAAACAAATAGATTCCATGTTGCCGTGGGTCTGTTCAGTAATAGATCACAGAAGACGTCAAAATGTGGTAAGAACATCAGTGACCTTGCGGCGAACCACAACATATCAATCACGTAGAAACCGAAAACCTCTGTTGTTGCTGTGAAATTTTGCATTCAACTCCTCGACAATCTTTTAAAACCAGTACTTTCTAAAGTTTTTACTCTCCTGCCTTCGTGGTATGATACACAAACTGATTAACTAGATATTTCTTCTTCTCGGACTGAAATTTTAAACGACTTGCATGTTTCTTGCCGCTTTTCCCGACTGTCACTGTCACTTTTTAGCGCAAACTTGTACCCGATCGGACGTGCACTGTTCACTGCTTGTAAAGCAAATTGTGCTACTCAAACATCAGTATAGGTGCTGCTAGCAGGTAAAATTTTGGACCGGTACAAGTTGTACGGACCGAGGCAAGCGAATAATCATCGCTGTAACCTTGAGATTAATGTGTGTGAATTGACGAATCTGTCAGTTTTGACGCTTGACAAAATTTTGTCTTACGAAGAAAGTCTTACGAAGGAATGTTAAGAATGCTTCGACGGCGACAATAATGGGCACTTGCGCAAGCGCAGTACCCATAAAAATTAACCGTTTTCCCCAGCGTAGGTTTTTGTCGATTTTTTATATGTTGATTAGGGGCACATAAAGAGTTATTTAGCGCAAGGAGCCTTTCTGTTGCAATTTGTTGAAGGTCTAAGTATAGAATGACTGGACTCATTTGCTGGTACCCATTTATACACCCTTATGGAGAAAGGCACTGTGAGAGTAAAGTGTCTTGCCCAAGAACACAACACAACGACCAGGCTGGGGCTCGAACGCAGACTGCTCGAGCTGGAATCCAACGCGCTAACCATCAGGCCACTGCGCCTCCTCCTATGTGTGATGCGCTGCATTCAAATCATCACAGAAGCTAGCTGATGTCTTCACCTACCTGTCCCATCCAACAACAATAATGATCCTCTTCAAACACAGCACCTGGCTGATCTCTGCAGGGTCACCATTACCAGCCATCAAGATATGATGACAGTGACCATTAAAATCCCAGATCTGAAACGGGTAACAAATAACAAAATATTAACTGTTAACGTTGGTGTTCTTTGATATGTTCATTAGCTAGTCTTGTTTGCAGCCGTTAATTGAGTCTTCAAGTAACTGCTGCTGAAACCTGAACCACATTCATTTCTGGCTCAGGTTTATCAAATTACATCTCAGCTTCCATTTATCCAGTGTAGCCTGTTCACAGACGTTCAATTTCTTTTTCATAAGATACTGGTGCGCGCGCGCGAGCGCGGAGAGCGCGAGAAAAAAATAGAACGTCTGTGGACATCTTTGGAGCAACTGAATTCTCCGTTTCTCCAGAAACGGAAAATTCCCATTGGCTAAAAGGCGATTAAATTGTCATCGCCATGTCAACCGCTCGTCAAGCGGGAATCAGGCGGTTTGCAGCGGTTGTCATCACTTTGTGGCGTTTGCCGCGACACTTAAGGTTACCGTGTGCCTTCAGGGGTGTCTCAAGTCTAAAAAATGTAGCGCGTCCGGATTAAACTCCAGATACCTAAAACCCTATATCAAATTAAAGCTTATAGAGCTGGCTATCTAAATATACTAACCATTATGTAATAAAATGAATTGTCGAATTTTTCGCAATGTCTAAATACGAGGGTCCGAATCAGCTTTTGAAAGCTACAACTCTGCGCGAATTATATATTTCGCTAATTTGATTTGTTCTCGGGTTTCCGGACCCAAAGCGCTTAAAAAACGTGTCGGGATTCTCCATATTCAATTGCAGTGAAAAGATACAGAGCATTTTCTAAATAGGGTGAAAAAATTATGGAGTGATCGCGCGGAAACGGCTCCCAACGAAAAAGTTTTCCGAAATAAAAAATTCCCCGACACGTTTTTGTTGTTTATATGTTAATCTAGATACTGTCTAAATTTGAAGTCAATCGCTCAAATTCCCTTTGAGTTGTAACTCTTTAAAGACGCCTCTATCGGCCTGAAATAGATTTCGAGAAAACAGCGGGAGGAGTATTCACACTCCACTCACACCTCACTTCCGGTAAAGTCTCTCGCACTGTATTTCTCCGTTAATATTGATCGGATTTCCATATAATTTTCTTTATATGAAAGGTCATCATGTAAACTACATATCTAAGCGGAAAAATGTTTTTGGACCAATTCTGTCCTTGAAGGTATATGGTAACCTTAATATTAGAAGAAGTCGAATCACAAGCCGTCGATCGCGAATTCGAAGGATCGCGAAGAGTCAGAAGAGTTGCTTCTTCGAGACTGCGAGCATTAATGCTCGCAGTCCCTGTCCTTACTTGAAGGAGCGTTTGGTTGACGAGTGCGTGAAAGAGATTCGAAGTGGCGCTATTGTCAGCTTACTCAAGGAAAAAGATGCCCTATGTTGTCGCCATTTTTCCGACTTTGTTTATCAATCGTTTGCATCTGCAAAAGAGTAGCAAACAACAGAAAGCACTGGCGTTCTCGTTGCATCGCCTCTACAGAACACAATGAACGATCAGATTGAGCAGCCGTCGCCAGAGCCGTCGCATTGTCAAATGGATCCGGTCTTGCTGGAATTAGTCTACAAACAAATGTTCTGTCGAAATTAATATACGAAGCCTTCCCGGATACAAAATGATTACTTACAAAGCCTACAGAAATCAGACGGACCTGACTGTTTCGGTTTACGACCTCTCTTTGCTGTTTTTTTCGGTATTGAAGTAGTCGACATACTCCAACACGCGCGCAAATGAAAGTTGTTTTGTATTTTGATCCTTCAAGATGTGATGCAAAACGATACTTAAGCCAATTACACAAGCAATTAAAATCTGGAAGTTTTAATGAATATATCGAAGGCGTAGGTGATAACGATAAGGTGATGACACGGAGGAGTGGCCAAAAAAGCGTCTTTTTTCCAAAGATGTCCACAGACGTTCTATTTTTTTCTCGCGCTCGCCAGTACCTTACGAAAAAAAATTTAACGTCTGTGAACAGGCTAGCTATATCCAGTGCCAATTAACATTTCTCGAAAACACCAATCAAAGGTTGTGTCTTATCTTGACACTAGCGTCAGAAACGGCAAACAGACCCCAGTACGTCGCACTGAATTTGACGCACATCGACATACAATAGAGATTCAGCAAAGATCATGCTATAACATTTAACGGGAAAAGAGAGAAACAAGGATGTAGTAACATAATCCGCGACAAGCTGGAACACAATAAAAGAATAATTCTACCTTGACTGTCCCATCAGCACTGGCAGTAAAAAGCCTTGTTTCTGTGGCATCCTGAGCTAAGGTTGTAATTTCCGAGTTACCATGTGCATTGGCAAACTGGATAAAAAAACAACAACACATTAACTATTAGTAAAAATCTACTAGTATACTAATGCAAATGAGACAATTAATCTGATTGGCAGAGCTACTCGTATTCTATCAGCCATTAGTGTGCAGTGGCTGGATGTAGTCTGCAAAAAGGCGGTTTCTTCTCGTTTCCGAAGTTTCGAAGGAGGATTTAGAGTTATTACTAGACATTTGTTATAATTTTTACTAAAACAATTAGATTATTCACTCTCAATTTCTATGATGTGATAGTTGATTCGGCCTACGGTCTCATCAACTATCACAGCATAGAAATCTCGAGCTCATAATCTAATTGTTAAATATATACCAGTTTAATTGGAACATCATCACAATGCCATAGGGACTCAAGCTGCAATCTAGATACCAGTTCTCTAGAGTTCTTGTTGTCAGGATTGTTCAACAAAGCAGTGAGCTCGCAAAGACAATTGCTTGTGGTGTTAGAAACCTCTCAGTCTATACCTTACCTGTTTGACTTTCTGTCCAGTCTCTATCATCCACATGGTTATTACAGAACCAGTGCCAGCGCTGACCACCTACAAGATAACAGGGACTCAGAATTGTTTCTTTGTAGTCCCAAGCACGTGACAAACTGAATATAGTTACTTACTACAGTGTGACCGAGCTTCATTGATCCTAGCAGTATGCAGGATATATGTTACATGACCTAGCTCATCACGAATCCCATGCTCGTGACAAACTGAATACGTACAGCTTACGCACAATAGCACGCTATACAGACATCGCATTTAAAACAATTACGAATTTGTAATGACGTCTGAACATTGAGTAACACCCTACAATCCCCTCCCCCACCCACTCCCGGCCCCCACTAGGTTATGGACACCAAATTTTTTCTCCACTGCATTTATTTCTATTTTTGGTCAACACTAAAATTACAAGAAAAATTCGAAGAAGTTTGACTTCGCGAAATGAGTGCAGACATTGGTGTCAGCGTTGAAACATTGTACGCCGTTGCTATGTAGACAGCTGAAAACATTATCATAAGATGAAGTAACCGCTGTTTAAACAGCTGATGTTTCGAGCGTCAGCCCTTCGTCCGACCAATTTCAACAAATCTAATTCTTAATATTTGTTAAAGGTTTATTTACAGGGCTGAATTTTTTTAAGGAAAGGCAAGAAACTGAACGTTTTTTTATTTAATTGAGACATCTTCAGCGTTATAAAAACACCAAAGATGGTTTAAGGTTATTCCATCGAAATAAGAGTAACACTGGGAAGTTTCCGAAACTTTCCCTAGTTGAACATTGTGAGTAATGTAATGTTTCAAAATATAGAATAAAAAGAATAGGTCACCAGCCCTGCGAAAGAAATATAATCGACTAAAAATACCACGGTGACCTCATTCCTTACAAAATCAACCAAAACATTTTTTTTTTTCTGCACTAGGAATTGGTCTATACTCCATGTATAGAAGGAAGATGATTACCAGACTTAAAATATGCGAAAAAAAGATAGGTCACCACGCTCATTTACGAGAAAATGATCATATCATTTACCTCTCTGGTGAGCATAGCCACAATGAAAACGCCGCCATTTTTACATGTGCACAGCTAATTACGTGCGAAATTATGCGCAGAAAGGATGCGCAGTACAATATTAGCCTCGCAAATAGTTATTTTAAAACGTTTTCACTTCAAACCTTCGCTTCACTCAGTTTCGTGTAAAATTGTCAGTCTAACTTTTACTATACGCTTCTCTGTCTGATTTTCAGCATCACAATGATAACTAAATCAATGTAAAGAAATAAAATATTGCATTTTATAAATTTGAGGCAGTGAATCCTGGCCCTTGCGTAGTGTACCTGATTGAACTTGCTGTTGTAAATAGCAGCTGTGACAGGATGTTCATGACTCATAATTCTATCCTTCACTTCTGGCTTCATCACCATCAGGGTAAGCTGACGGAGAACAAATCATAAATATTAAATAAATATAACAAACTATCAAATAATTAATCAATAGACCTTTCTAGCCTGGTTTGTTTGCTGTCCCATTTCAGACCATGTGATGTTACTCTAGAAAATAGTTTAATTGTTTCTTTCAAATTGTTTCATATTCACGTGTATATGAACACATAATTTTTAGATAGACAAAGGAACAATTCTCTAGAGAACATCACATGATCCGAAATAAGCAATTTACATTGTGAAGCTAAAGAGTAAGCACAGTACGAAATTTACCCCATCACTATATATGTTGTTAAAACAAGCGTGAGATCTGTATTTGGGAAATATAGTTCTTTTTTGCAAGTTTATTATGAAACATTGAACACAAGAAAACGGTTTTTGTGTGTACTGCGCTTGCGCAGTCAACACTATGCACTTATACCGTAAAATTGTAAACAAAAGAAATGTTAACAATGCTCTATTGTTAACATCTAATCGATAAACAAACCACAGACAATCGATCAAATCAATAACAAACCATGCTTTCCGAATTTTAATGGCCGGCGCTTCGATACCATACACAATAATGTAAAT